GTGGGTGGGTGGGTGTGTGTGTTGTGATGACATGGACAAAACAATTTGTGGAAGCATCAATCCAATGGCATAGATTGAATGGATCCATTGATTGTTGGTAAAAATTTGTTGTTAACGCCAACAAGCTATATGACCCTCTACTTGGGTAGCAGAAGGCCTCACCCAACTTACACTGGTCGCACAAAGACATAACAATCCCACATAAGCTCTAAAAAGGACTGCTCGTGTGACTGCTACAGCCTCACATAAGGCTACAAGATGGTGCTACTTGTGGCGTCACAATGAAACATGCAGGACTGCAAGCAACAACCTGCATTCCTGCAAGGGCTACACATGGCATCATATAGCACCGTACAAAACTGCGCATGGTCTATAAAAGCTCCCCACAAGACTACTACTGTCACGGCAAGTAATACTGTGGATTATAGCAGGCCATATGAGTGCATCCCTATATAGTCTTACTAAGCTGTTATGTACTCTGACAAGGCCTATAGAGATGCGAGAGGATTATTGTTTTCCTATAAAACGATTCTAATCAACAAACTAATCACATATTTTACCTTTGTTTAACCATTTTGCATGTTTGATGAGAGAACAACTTTTGTTGGCATAACAATAATAGATAAAGATCTGAGTGTGGGAACATAAATCGCCTCAAACTTAATGATATAGCTTTTATATATACATTATTTGCAATTTGATGAAAAGGGTTCTACTAAAATAATCAATAAGAATATGACTTCAGATAAATCCCATTAATAAAAGAATTAATCTAATCAATTTGCAATCCATAAATAAAAATTAGACAAACAGTAGCTTTATTTTTCTACTTGGCATGTCAGTATTGCATAAACCACAGGATAGGTATGAAGTTGACTCATCAACAATGAGCTTGTGATGCTATGGTTTAAGCTTTAAAACAGTTTTGATTTCAAACTTATGTTTCGTGCAAATTCTAGATTCAGTAGTTTGATAATTTCAATATATGGATTCACTTGCAGGTTTCAAGTTCAGGCAAAATAAATAAAAAAACAATAGCTTATGTAGCACACACTTAGGCTTCGTTTGAGACGGCTTTTTTACTGCTTCTTAAAGCAGCTTTTTAGTACAAAAAATAATTTTTTATACTAGAAAGTTGCTTTAAGAAGCAGTAAGAAAGTCATCCCAAACAAAGCCTTAGGCTTCGTTTAGGACATCTTTCTTACAACTTCTTAAAATAGCTTTTTAGTACAAAAATTAAATTTGTTGTACTAGAAAGCTGCTTTAAGCAGTAGTAAGAAAGCCGTCCCAAACAAAACCTTAATCGCAGGCTTGCTGACCAACAACCGCCCACTAGGACAGAATATCGCCTACAACAGTCCACCCTAGCCCATATGTATAATTGTCTTCTCTATGCTTTTCTATATTAACAGTCACTTTAGCAAAATATGGGCCAAAATGTTCAAAATCCGCTGTACTTATCTGAAACTAGTGAAGCTAGAAAATTTCAGGCAAATCTTAATTGATCCACCAAAATCAACCCAGCTCTACTGAAAATTAAGGCTATGCTATTAAGGACATACACAATACCAACTTTTTTTGTCACGTACCTTAGCAATGTTGGCATTCAATTTTGATGCTACGCTTTCTCCGGGTTCATTAACGGAACGTGAATCATTCTTGCTTTCAGTGATGAAACTTTTACTTCTATCGATATTCTCAAGAGAAATCATTCGGTTGCTAGAATTCACCTCACAGTCCTGTTATAGTATGAGAAATGAGAAGATCATAGGAGGAAACAAATGGAAAATGCATGCTTACACAAGATTAAAAAAAAACTTCAATTCTGAAGATTTGCTGAGAGCCGAAGAGCGGAGATTAGAGTGAGTTACAGAAATAATGGTGGGCTTATTTTTCCAAGCCAAAAAAACCCAAAATAATTTCCATAATTTTCGTGTAGGACCAATTTAATCTCAGAGTATCATGTTGCCCAATTTTAGTCCCGCGACTATAAAAAATGATCCAAAATAGTCCCTCATATTATAACTGTGATACAAAATTGATCCTAATTTAGTCCCTCGACCCAATTTAACCCCAAAGGGACCATACTCGACGAATTAAATTAGAGCAATGTTATGATCTGGGGGACTAAAATGGCCATCTAAGAATATTCAGGGGTATTTTTAAATTTAACACTTTTTTCCAAGCATGCTGCCAAGTTTAATAGGAACTAGCACGTGTTCTTATGATTTTAAAAATGTACCCAACAGTAAAACAGCAAGGGCTAGCATCTACTTCATTGATTATTAAGTCAGATAAAATTCAAATGCAATCCAAACTTATGATGTTAGAATCAGTCCATGGTCCTAAAATGTTCATATTATTTTTTAAGGTACAAACTTTATTCTAGTCTTAGTATGGTGCATGTGTTTAGCTCATGCAGATGTCTACAAGCAGGAAATAAAAAACATAACTATCAGCAACAACAGAAATTAATTGCAAAAGCAACACTCTTACCATTATCTGAGCAACAGAAGCTTCCGCATTTTGGGTTTTACCAGTGACAGGGTAGACACCCTTAGCTTTAGACACTTTTGACGCTGCACTTGAATTTTTTTCAGCAGAAACATTCTGGATTAATTTCTGCAGAACAAAGTCAAACCTGGTCACATGAAAGATGAAACACCCAAATTCTTCGAAGTCTTAATGAAAATGATTGTCGATGAATAATCCTAATCCAATGCTAAACAGACAAAAATAAATATTAAATGTCAGCATTGTCAATATTAATTTTTTTCACAAAACCACCAAAGAAAGATATTTGATATTACTTTAACGCTAATACCACCCATGAAATGTAGTAACTAGTAAGTGAAAAAGTACGAACTTATCAAACGTATATGGGTCAAGACAATTATATTATGGTTTGATAGATATACAACCAGCCTTCATCAGATTGGGAAATTCAATGTAATGCTATTCAACTTACGCATAAACATTTAGATCCATTTACATGAAAGACCAATCAAAGCTGTGGACATGAACAATACCATTAATCATACATTGCCACTAGACTCGGTGCTCCAGCGCACCCTTTAATATTTTTTTATTTTACAAGGGCAATCCAGAATTAAACTAGGGATCCGCCCTTTATTATTTAAGGTCTAAAAGCGAAACCAAAATATCCAGTTCAAGAAGGAGAATCCCAGAATACATATTCTTCCAATCAAGCAGAGCAATGGGAATATTTATGCATCATAATTCCAGGGCCATAATTCTTGAATGAGGCCTTCCAAAAGAAGAAACATATAAACTTTTGCTCATCGAATTAACTTATCCTTAATGGAATATCCTCCATTCTCAGAAGAAGGAGAATGACAAAGCACGCTTAATAGATAGGATTTAACAGTTTAAAATTGGAAATAAAACGAAATCTTCACACAAAGCAACTAATTCAACTGACTTTAAAGTACCAACTAGTTCTGATGCAATCAAAAATTTGGGAGAGGGACCCAAATTTTTTATCACAAAAACACAAACTTTCTAAGAACAAAATAAAGACATAAAATGCTTAAAAGAACACAAATACTATAAAACACAACTTTATATAATAAAACGACTTACAAACTTTTGACTCAAATGACACTTACAAGACGATTCAAAACACAAACAAAATGACTCAAACAAAGACACCTAAAGTTGCGTTTCTTTGAGAAGAAAGATACAGGTGACGTCCCTCTTGTCTACATCAAGTTCGTAAAAAGTTTCAACATTGGTCCAAATGAATAATTTACATGCATAAATCGCAACAAACGCATTTGTTGATTACTATGTGCAGTAAGTATGAAATACACAGAGCTAGAATAGAGAAGGTTTCAATCGTACCCTTTCCAACATTGCCTTTATTTCACCAAACTGCTTCCTGATTTCTGGATTATTTGGCTCAAGTCTCACAGCAAAGTCAGCATCTGCGATTAATTTTAATGTGTTAAGTATATGATATTTTAATTAGTTGTCCACAGATGCAATAAAGATAATCAACAGAGATCCATGTACCGATCTACAAGCCAACCTTCCATAGCTTCTTCAAGCTTTCCTAGTTCTTTTCTAGCTGTAAGTCGACGTGAATATGCTTTAACATAGCGATCATCTAAACTTAGAGCATCTGTACAGTCGTTCTCTGCTTCCACAAATCTGTTTTTTTTTTTTTTTTTTTTTTTTTTAATTGTTTTTTTTTTTTTTTTTTTTTTTTTTTTTTAACATTTTTAAGCATCCAAACAAAGGATTCAGAAGCAAATCAATGCAAAAAAGATAGTAAGAGTATGAATTACAATTCATGGAAAAAAAAAAGAATATGAATTAAAATTATATCAGATCTAAGTTGGCTTGCATATTTTTCCATAGTTAGAGGATGAATTTAATTTTTACATCCAACCATATAAACAATAACATAGTTTTCAGGCATTTATCTCACAAGGATTCAAGAAATTTCATACGATAAATAAAATGATGAAAACATATAAAACCCACTTCTTCACTTTAAGATATGCCATAGCTCTATTGGCAAAAGCAACTGACGTAGGAGAGAATGCAATGCTTCTTGAGTAGCACTCAATGGCTTCATGGAACTTCTTTTGCTTAAAATATTCATTGCCCTGAATGTGAAAATTAGGAAAACAATCTACTTCAATATCCTTAGGCATACAATTTCATGAAGAAAAAAGACTGTCAACAGACGCTGAGAATTCCCACCAATTCCTTCTCTGAAGTAGCATCTGGCAATTTCTCCTTATTTAAGAAGCTACTCGATAGATCAAATGCACCCGAATTTCTAAGATAACCAAAACGCTCACTGTTTTCTCTTGAAGAAACTATCTTTTCATTAATCTTTTTTACTTCAGACGCAGGAAATTTTGAAAAATCCGCCTTATCTTCATCAACAGTTCCTGTCATCTTTAATGAGCAAAACAAACAATTAAATAAATAAATAAATAAAAAGCCATCATTAATGAAATTTGCTTCAAAAGTTATTCTCCATATACTTCATGCTAAAACATAATATTGAAGATATGAATAACAATGGAATTTCATTTTTTTTTAGAATATTTCATTCTAGAAGGTTTAATAATCTACATTATTACGCCCTTTCATTTTGTAAATTGTACTCCGGTGAGCATATAACAATACGCATGCCTTATCATTTTGAATCCATCTATCAACACAACGTGTATTGAGAAAACAAATACACATGCTTCAAAAAAAGCATTAAGCGACAGCAAAGAACAAATGCTTCTAGAGGACTTTTGTGCCTGTCTTCCACGTGCCTAACATGCAAATACAACAAAAAAAGAGGGTGAATATCACTCAACTTCTTCGAATTTGTATAAAGCTTCATGTTGGTTCATATTTTAAAAAGACTCCTTTTAATCCCTAGTGCTTCTCTAGTTTATAAATTAAATCCTAGGGTTAGATATAGATCTTTACAGACAATTAATTTAGATCGTTTGACCCCCAAGTGAAGGACTTTTCAACTTAACTTTAAATGATACATAATTTTGTAACAAAAAACCCTAATCATAGTGCTAATCATAGGATTTCATTGAAGTTCCATCTTCTTTAACTTCTTGTCCAGTGATACGATTAGGGTTTGTTTCTAATGTTCTATCCAATTATGCAAATGCTAAGGAGGATTAGGACAATAAATGACACCCACAGTGTACAAGTAATGCTTCAATGGTGGTGAGTATCTGTAGGTATAAGAAGAGCAACATGTACCTGTACAAGAGATCTTTTCTATCCTACAAATGGGTTAGCTTAAAAGAATTTACTAACAAGGACTAGGGTTTAGGGTTTACGATGTCTTGAAAAATAAAGTGAAGTAGGTATGGTTATGGAGGCGGTAGGATGAGGAGGTGAGAAACAAGTGGATGGCTATGATGCACCGACATTTGTCCTCAAAGAGGTATGCAATGTCCGACACGTATCGGACACGACACGAGTCCGACATTCTTCTGAAATAAAAATTGAATTTCTTATTTCCTCTCTAAAGTCTCAAATCAATTGTCCACACTCAATACCACATTCCCAGAACATTCTCATTTTCATTTTTCTTCAGTAGCTTGCGGCTAGGGTTTCATAACAACGTTCGATGTCATCTCAATATGGGCAACTAACGTCATCACAGCATCAGCATTTCAAAATCATCTCAAAATCAAATTATGATGTTGCATTAACATTAACACTCGACGCTGGCAATTTCTACATCCACAATCACACCCCTATGCCTTCTCGACATCTCATCTTTGCTCAATGTCATCTTAACATGTCATCTTAACATCGACGGTCGACGTTATCTCGAGATCAATGACCGACATTGTCTTAACATTAATGCTCGATGCCCATTACACAACAATAATGCTCGACAATCGAGAGCATTATCTTCTCCCCTCTTGATGTATAACATGACATCAATGCACGACTCATAACATCCTAATATTAATAATTTTAAGTGCAAATCCTAATTAAATAGCTTATTATTTCTTAATTATTTTTACTATTTTGCTTATTCAATTTTTATATTAAAAAAGTGAATTATAATACAGTGTTTAACTCGTATATGTGTCCTACATTTTCAAAAATTGACGTGTCCTGTGTCTTTGTCATGTCTGCGTCGGTGTCCATATATGTGCATCATAGGTGGAGGGAGGAAGACAGTGAAAGTGCAATTAGTGAAAATAACTTTATGAGAAAATAAAGGGAACATGTAAAGGCTTTTTTTTTTGTGCTTCTCCTAATAAATGATTTTATCAACAAAATAACCTGCATAAAAAATCGAGCAAGGGACCCAAATAAAGTTTTTTTTTTTTTTTTATTCTTTTAGCATGAACCTACAAGAAGCATGGTAAGTTCAAATATCTTATTTTTTATTACTGTTAAATAAGTCCTAATAAAAACAAAAGAAACGTTACAGCAATGAAATTGTTGCACATCTATGACATAAGAAACCCCTACAAGCCTAATCACCCAAATATTACTAATTATGGATTTCTGTCTTTAAAGTCCTACTTATTGTTAGAAATTGCCTATCATAGTGTATCCTTTAAGCTTTGTGCTAGATAAAGTGCAACCCTTATTTATTTTATGTTATTATATATTATAATGCTAATGCTATTTTATTTTTATTCATTTTTTATTTTTCTATGTGTGGATGTCTAGGAAGTGTCATGGGTATCTCCTATGCAGTATCAAAATTTTATAAATGAGGGCTAAAGTTACAGATTAAACAACAAGCTGACAAGCAAATACTCAAGTTACGGATTAAAAAAAAGTGGAGCAGCAAATTCATGAAGAATTAGTAACCAGAACTAGACCAAAAAATGAATCCATTTAATATTGAAAACAATGATCATAATCAACATTGCTTGAGTGCTCTCAAATTATTTTTAAAAAAATGAGCAAACAAATAATTACCAATTTGGTCTTCAGTTTCTCAGCAATACCGTGGAAAATGAGGATACTCTTCTCATAAAGCATCTTACTTTCCTAGCTAACATTAAGTTGTCCAAGAATGAGGTGAGAAGCAAAATTTAAAAAGAGCATGGTAAAATAGGAATCAATGCTTAGCAGTAACTTCAGAGAATTAAATATGTACTTCACAGAAACTCTTTAGAGTTTGCTTGCAATTTAGAACTATCAGGGGTATTATTTGTTGATTTTTAATAACTTAGTATTCTTTCAGTTACAGAAAGACGTATAGAAGGACTGTGTTCATAAGTTTAATTAGTGGGGGTGCAGTTGTATATGTCAAGTATTTTGATCTGTACCTACAATCAAATTTAAGACCCATATATTAAACTGTACTATAATTGAACAAGTTGTAAACGCTCATTCTCTAGGAAAAGGAAAGCAAACCAACTGCAAATTGAAGACCTCACAAGGTTAAACTACATTATAATTGAAAAGGTTGAAAACAATCATTCTCTAGTAAAAAAGAAAAGCAAAACTAATTGCGCATTGCATGTAATATGATTAAAAATTACTGTCTTCCTAACGAATAAAATAATCTTACTGATTTTGCAGCCTTCTGAGCTCGACCCTTTGGTTTGTTGTCCCAATCCTGCAAGTCCTTCAAGAAACCACGAAACTCCTACAGAATCAACAAAAAGAATCATAATTTATATGTCTTAAATCCTAATTTCCAACCTCTAACATCAAAATCCACAAAATAATAATGACAACCACATATTGCACAAAACAAACACTCAACACAGTATTAGAGCTTTTAATCTACTGATCCTAGGTTAATATAACAAAGAAATAATAGCAAAGCTTTGCATGAGCTGAATTTCAGGCCTATTTGGGGCAGCTTCTTCACTGCTATGTTTTCAAACCGTTGTCATATTTTTGTTTAACGTTTCAACAATTTTATGATAGAAAGTTGCTTTTACAACCAAATACACAACATTTTAGCTGTAAAAACTATTATCCAATTGTTTCATAAAAAAGAAATATTTAGGATACCTACAACAACTTAAAAAAAAAAGTACTTTCCATATAATAATTTTAAGACCATCTTTAAAAAGAAAGCCGCAACCGCCTCAAACCTCAAATGGACCTTTAGCCTGCATGAACTTTGCCAGGTTTACCTATCTAATCCCATAAATTCTGGTAAAATTTAACCCACCCTCACCCTTGATTAAAATCAAAAGTTACTTACTTGGATATGGTTGAGGTATCATCCGAAGTTGTTGAACCCGACCTCTTTATCTATCTATGGATTCCATCGGAAGGCCGAGACAAGAGACCTTGTGAGAGAGAAGAAATAAAGGCGGAAGGAGAAAAACCTTGGGATGGATTAAAGAGAACTAAAAAAAACAGGGATTGGTAGTAGAAAAAGCTGGTTCGAGAGTCCGACGCCGGTTCCTACCAAAACAAAATAAAGAAATTATTCTATGCTGAGTCTATAGGTTTGCGACTATTTTGCATGGTGCGGTTATACTCTCTATATTCTAATCCCTACAATTATTCTTTGGGAAATTTACATACATACCACTATATGCCTCTTATTTTACATATCTAACACCTCAAACATTAGTATTACACTTATACCACTCAAATCCCTAATTTACATCATTTCTACCACTCCCTCTACCGCCTTCCTCACGACGTCAATTTCTCCGCTTGGCGCGAATCTGAGAGGAAGTTAGGGCGAACGAACTGGATGGAGGAATCGGAACTCGCAAAAGGGAAGGAAGGTGAGTTCTGATGAATGCTTTCATTTTATTCTAAATGATTTTTTTGCTCGGTGTTTGGCTAGTTGTTTGTCACCTAAATGAGGCTTTCTAAGCTTTTTTTTTAATGTATAAACTGTGTTGAAATGCACATAAGCTTGGTGGATTTCGTTAAAAATTACCGACTTCGTTAAAAATGCCGGACTTCATTCCAAATCACCTGTGAAGATATAGAGGGTATTATAGTGATGAATCTGCTATTTAACTTACGACTAAGAAATTCAAATATATGGAAATTTTTCTTGACTGAAAAGCTTCTACAATCCACAGGACAAGCTCTGCTAAGAGCATAATAAAAAATGGAATAGGATGGATAAAGCTCTGGTAAGGGCATCATCAAAGTAGCGGCCTGGGAAGGATCAGATAAATAATATACTTACAAATGAATAAACAAGCCCTCAGATGACGAGAAGAAAGACCTCCGATATAATACTTGCCAAATGCTGTGCGCAAAGAGGAGTTTTCAACGGAAAGAAAGACGTCGTGAGGAAGGCGGTAGACGGAGTGGTAGAAATGATGTAAATTAAAGATTTGAGTGGTATAAGTGTAATATTAATGTTTCAGGTGCTAGATATGTAAAATAAGAAGTATGTAGTGGTATGTATGTAAATTTCCCTTATTCTTTTTTTAAGACTCACAGATTTCTAACAATAACGGTAGGATAGATTTTTTTCTCCGGCTTCAGATTATTGCCAAAAAGCAATCCTTGGTCAGGCCTAATTAATCAAGTTAATCTAGATTGATCAAACTACCTAAATCTAAATCCACTTCAATTCCATTGACCCAAGCATGCTTAATCCAATTTGAACTCATAGGACTATCCATGAGGTCCCTATGAACCAACCCTAGGTGATCCAACCAATGGATTCACTTGAGCTAGCCACATGGCTTGACCCAAGTGAGTAAAACCACCTTCCCATGAGCTGGCCCAAGCCGAATCTAATATTGCATAGATCATGACTCCTTGCATCTACCTAACCAACCCAATCTTGGGGCTTGCTTGGATCAACCAATTAGGTTGGCCCAAAGCCTCCAAATCAATGAATCCTGAGCCATATTGCATTCTGTGACCACCACATCATGACCAATTAGGTTGGCTTAAGAACCTTACAAACACCTATCAGGTCAACCTCTTGCCATGTGGTGTTTGGAGCTTATTGAAAATTAATAAATCGTTAGCTCAAACCATAAGTTCAACCCTAAATGCCTGACCATGTGCTCATATGGGCCCTAACTTATCAGAAATATTCATGCCTCTTCAATGGCATATCCCCAACTATTTTGGCAGGTTGATGCTGTCGAAGGTGGCTGAAATTCTAGCTTGATGCATTCTCAAATAGCCTATACATATGTTTGATTTCTCTGAAGAATGGTTATATATTTCAATTTGAAAAGCATCCCTAGTGCTCTAGGATCCAAACCCCAGCTCCCCTGCCTCTCTAATGGTCAATTTTTTTGAGTTTGAGTGAGCTCCGATGAAGTTTCATCATCCATAATTCACTATTTGATTCACTACACCTAAAATCCTGCTCCTTGAAGCAAAAGCATTCATAGGATCTAAAAAAAAAATTACTAAACTCAGGGGCATTTGGAGCATTCCTTGAGGTATTCCTTTAATCCTAACCACTAGGTTGGGAAGCTTTGCTTAGTTGTGAAAGGAACATTTAATCCAATGAGATCTAACTCTTGGATTGAATGTTCATCTTGGCTGATGCTCCCTATAAAATCCAATAAATTCAAATGAGTTGTTTGCTTAGATCTTGTCATAATGTGCTTATGGTTGAAATAATGATCGGGAGGTTGAAATCAAAATCTCATCTATTGATTTCAATCAAAGGATATAGTTTAGGATGATCTGATCTCGCGGTTCATTCCACTTTAAATCATGACCATTTAATATTGGATATAACGACCGCGGTTAATACCGCGTTAAATTATTACCACAAAAATAATTACTTAGCCAATTAGATAGCGTGTGTAAAGCACCGATTAGCTGTGAAATTGGTTAAATAAAATTAAGAGATATCACCTAATCTTTGAAAATTCATATCTCCTCAACCAATTGTCCAAATAAGGAGATTTTAGACTTCATGAATTCATATTGTGAAGCTCTACAAAAGCATATGATTATACACATTAATTCCTCATATATTAAAAGTAATTTAAAAAACACTCCTATATTACTTAATTTTGATCTAGGTTCTAAGATAGACATCAAATCATAAGTTCTCAACCTCCGAATATATAATCTTAAATTTTTAATAAAATGTTAATTCAAACATAAAAAATTCTCTTCTAAATTATTAAAGCCTAATATAAGATAAACTGGAGCGCTTCTTGGTAGTCTCAAAATTTTACTTCTCCCTTTCTTTAATCATTCATCCTCCAAAAAGAACTATTCAATATTGAATTAATCTCATTTGTATATTCTAAAATCTATCATCCTTGTCTTAATCTTTAAAATCTAAGAAAATATTGATCACTATTTTAATTGAGAGTATTCTTAGGAGGGTCACATCTTCTAAAATATAATTAACCATAAAGTCTTGCCTTTATAGGGAACCTATAACTCTAGATTAAAATAAACTCTATCTTAATTTTAAAAGATAAGAGAAAAATTTTTAGGAACATTGTCAATTTTTTAAAACAAAATTCTATATTTAAATACCTCTATAGAATGTCATGATCGCCCTTCAGGGTGATATGATATTCTCTTTGTTTTATTTTCTTATATAAATGATAATTTTTCAAAACCTATTTTTATATTCAAACACTTTTCAAGAATATTGCATCCACCTTTTCAAGTGATATGATATTCTCACTGCTATATTTGATTATATAATTGATAATGTTTTAAAACTCTATTTTCATCTTTAAATACTATTCTAGAATACCATGTCTGCCTTTTGGGACAATATGATATTCTTTTTATTGAATTTATTATGAAAATGAAAATTTTTCAAGTCCTTATTTCTATTTTTGAATTCATTCTAGAATATCATGTCCATCTCTCAAGATGGTACAATATTCTCAATGTCATATTTGATCACAAAAATAGGAATACCTTGAATCTACATGACAATCTTTTATTTTCCTGCATCAATATGCATTTATGGTTTGTTGGGCAAACCCCATTCGAGATTACTACTTTTTCTCCCCTATAAAGGATAACATATATAATTATGCACCCTTTTGGAAGTCAAGTTCTTTGTCAGTTGGCCCAGGCACCTGCTTATATTTTTTCTTATTTTTGTGCAGCTAGTGTGCCCTATGGCTAGGTGACCTGTCCCTAGGCCACTACCTAGCTATCCTTCACTATTAGGGGTGAAAATGAGTTGAGTTGAGCTTAGGGAAGGCCTAACTCAAGCTCAACTTGTGAACCCAAACTTGAGTCAAGCTAAAAAGGTGAGCTTGAGCTTGACTCGTGCACTAAAAAATTAGCTAGTGAGCCTTCTGTGGTCTTCCAGTACACCTTATATGATCACACATGCAAATGAGCAATGCCTTTCATGATTCTTATATGTAAACATCGCTCGTGATTTGCCAACGATTTGCACATGCTTCAACACTTCACCCTAATTCCACATTTGCCCGCACCTTCTGCACTTTACCCATAATTTACCCACACTTAATTAATTCTTATCACTAATTGATCCACCGGAGAGTAATTAAGTTGAGCATCATTTGAGCTCAAACTCAAGCTAGATAATCTAATGAACTCCAAATTTTGCTCGAGCTTGAGCTCAAAGCTCGATAATCTTGGCTCATGAGTTGGATCGATTCATTTAAACCCCTATTCATGACCAAAAACCAAGCAACCTACACTTGTAGTACCTATAGTTTAGACAATTGTTGACCCCTCAACATCACCAGTTGATAGGTTCATTATTTGTTACTGTGGTGGAAGCTGTTATGCTCGGGTATCCCCTCCTCCTTCCTCCTTGAGGAAGAGGGGATCCCAGGCTGAGCTTCCTTCCGCTTCCTCTACTCACTAGGTCTTTATTTTTGCTCGTCTCTCTCACTACAAGACTGTCAAACAAAGGTGATGATGGTTCCCTTATTATAGGATCCATGCCTGTTGACCTCATTTTTGGGTGAGGTCAATTATCTAAATAAAAATTCAATCTCTAGGAATCATACTTTGAACCATACTTCAAACTCTAAATCAAACTCTATAATGTTTATAAGTATAAATAAAATATTATTTTATGTGTTATATTTTCAGTGAAAATATATAATTTTTGTTATATTTGGTAAGCAAAAATATGGAAAAGACATAAAATTCTAAGTTTCATTTAGTGTCAAGACGTCAGAACAATCAACACTTCAGCGCCATTAAAGACACCACGTACCAAAGCGCTTGAATATCAACATTGTGGCACCAACTTTTCTGTCAGATAGTGTCACAACGACACACTCTATAATGCTTTAGTGCCAAAATTACTCTTCTAGCAGCGCAATGTTCTAAGGTCAGGAGCACAACTGTTTAGCAGTTATAACTTCCCAAGGATAGGATTTGTTAGCAAAATGATGCATCTGTTCACTAAGTAATTGATCCATGTCAGTAAATGCCACAACAAAACTAGAAAAGCAGCGCAACAATGCCGATCTTTCTCACACCGCAGACTCTATAATGCTTTAGTGCCAAAATTACTCTTCTAGCAGCGCAATGTTCTAAGGTCAGGAGCACAACTGTTTAGCAGTTATAACTTCCCAAGGATAGGATTTGTTAGCAAAATGATGCATCTGTTCACTAAGTAATTGATCCATGTCAGTAAATGCCACAACATAACTAGAAAAGCAGCGCAGCAATGCCGATCTTTCTCACACCACAGTGCTAGATGATTACTTTGTGTTTTCCTATAAATAGTCATTATATTATGCTTGTATGAGAGTTCAGTCACTTAGATAATTTCAGTATAATTCATAGTGCTTCTCTGAATTTCTCTTAGAGTGACAACTAAGAGAATTTAGAGAAGTACTTGATATTATCATTAGAGTGTTTGGTTTGTGTTAATATAAGCAAATCTATAAGCAAAGAGGAGTGCAGAGGATATTCATTGAATCATTCTGGTGATATATATCTCTTGTAACTTCTTTTTATCATGCTATCAATGAAATGAGTTTATTTTGAATATACTCTGTCTGGCTAAATTCTCTAGTTTTGGATTGATGATGTAAATATCATATGTAGTACTAATGATTTTTTTTATTTCTTAAATAATTGAAAAGATGTTTTCAATATTACTATATCTTAATTTAATGCACATAGTGATCATATATGTAATAAAAATTAGGTGTAATGTGGGGCCTCAATGGAGGGAAGCAGGCATAATAAGGAATATTAAATTAGTATGCATCATACCTAGGCATAAGGTTTGAAATATACTAAATTCTTACGGAGATAATATAATCGTAGGAAGTCGGTGGTGGTGGACATCCTTTATTCTTACAATCTCGACAGAGATCTAGAAATTTATATGCTCTGAATAACATCTCAATTAAAATAGAATCATTATAAAAAATATATTAATTATACCCATCAATAAAAAAATATTAAATCCATATAGTGTATTCATTATCTTTATTTAATTTTATTTAAGTGATTGAATCTTCACAACATCAATTTTTATGGAGTTGGATAATTATTTAAGTGATTGAATCCAACAGGTATGCGGCCCTGCTAGCAGTTTTTGTTCTCTTGAGGAGAGAACTATTTTCCACATATTTGGGAATCCTTATCACCAGCTTTTATTTCATGACTTTTTACTATATTAAATGGGAGAAAAATATGAAAAGGAGAGCCAAATAACTGTCCTCTTATGCCCACATAATAAACGGAGCACTGATTCGAATCATCTATCATCAATCATCATACACCCCCATCCATCTCCCTCGTCTTCTTCTGTTCCTCTCTCTAGTTTAAGCTCTTTCTTTATGACATTTAGCACTTGAATTGCTGCAAGCTTCATGTGAGATGACACGAAAGAAATAAAGTTGAGAGAAGAGCCCATCAAATAACAATGGATGGGTTTCCATCAAAACAACTTATGATGGATGCTTCAGATCCAAATCGAAAGTGAGTTCCTTAATTTACATTTATGGAATTTTCTTGTAAAATTTTCTTGTTTCATCCATAATTATCTCCAGTTTTTTTGTTGGTTAATATAGGAAAATGGCTCAGAAGACGGTGGTTATAGTGAGAGCTGAAGCCAAACTTGGGAAGCATGGAGGTGAGGCTCCCCCTGATTACTGGTCATGGAGGAAGTACGGGCAGAAGCCAATAAAGGATTCACCATATCCAAGGTACTCTTTTCTCCACATTAAATTTTTTTCTCCTTCACACCTTTGTTTAAGTCTTTCAGATTGATACTCCTTTCCATTTTCTCTTTTCTTCAGCTATTAGTTTGGTTCAATACTGTCACTGCAACATATAAGCCTTTGTTTTCAGTGCATATATGAAATTTCTCAGCACTCTTATTTCTTCTCTTCTCTTCAGCTATTAATAAAGCTCATTTGCGTGGTCTATTTGCTTTTCAGAACACCAAGATTGCATTTGGGTATTAACATTAGAAGCTTATATGTTTCTTTTCTTAATTTTCAAAGCATCTGCTTTTTGTATTGATCACAACTTTGTTAAAGATAACTAAATTTCATTGTAATTTTTCTTCTTTAAAATTATGTCTCATTAATTTAATGGCGACACTACAGGAAAACCAGCGTTCACCGGCGGTCAAATAACCGCCAGAATAACCGGAGGTTAAACCGGCTGTCGGACCGCCAGTTTACCTGGTGGTGTTTAATAATAAACCGCCGGAAATGACGGCAGTAAAATAACCCCCGGGTAGGCCACTGGTTTTGCTGTTTTTCACGTCGCATTTACCGGCGGCGGTATTAACAATTTTAATGTGGTGTGAGAAGATCTTTTTCTTCTAACATTCTTATCCTTTATTGTACATAGGGCATATTACAGATGCAGCAGCTCAAAGGGATGCTCTGCAAAGAAACAAGTTGAAAGATGCAAAAAAGATGAATCACTTATTATCATTACATACACTTCAAGCGACAATCATCCTGGACCTGTCCCCTCCTCCCTCAACAAATCTATCAACTCTTCTCGTATTCCCTTTCTTAATGAAGATTGCCGCTCATCTGAAAAGAACAGAAATGTGGAAGATAATTATGAATCCTCTATAGTGAAGTGTGCACAGGAATCAACAGAGAAAGTCCAAGGAGAAGGTGATACCATCTCTTCCTCAATAGAACCAGTAAATTGTTCGATGGAGGATAATGACATATTTGATGAACTTGATGAGCTTCCACTGCCTTCATCCTTTAATAGCTTGGTTAGGAGCAGCATTTTTTATGAAAAAATTATTCCTCCATAGAGTTGTAGGACTTTGTTCATGCAATTATCAAAATTGAAACTATATTTCTTCCTTTTTATTTTTTTATTTTTACTTTGCACAATTTACTGTCATGGCTTATTCTATTAGCTACTATCCTTTACTGTTGCAAATATGCATAATCCTTCCTTTCTCCACTTTCTTCCTGTGAAATGATTGAATGTAAATGGACAAGTGGGGGGCAACCAAGAGACACTGAAAAAGTAGAATAAAATAAAGGGTTTTCCTCGCTAGTTTCTCAATGATTAAACCAAGTGATTTCTTTTTTCTTAATTCCTTCATCAATTAACATAGCAAATTCTCATATAAATACTGGACTTTAGGATTGAGGCCATCTGGCCATGCCATTCAGTATGGAATATGGATATTCTACGGACAAATCCAATCAAATCTATAATTTCCCATGGTATAAATGATTCAAAATTTCTTCTCCTGCTCATGCGAAAAAGAATTTGGAAAAAAGTTAAATAAAGTTACCCATTGAAATGACGTAGGAAAAATTCAAAGTTTTTATTATGTACTGTCAATTCCATGAATAAAGAAGAAATATCGCTACCACCGAAGGAAACTGATTACATTGGGAAAATTTGATTTGATATCCACTAAAGCGCATTGTTTCCATTCGTTATCCAGATGAAGATGGTTTACTGTTCATTAGCAATAAATGAAGCAGATCTGGTGGTGGAAAAGATAGTTTGGCATTCAGTGCGCTAAAATCCACTCAGAACAACTCAACAAATGATTGGAAAGGAACAATCAACAACACCCGCAACTTCTATTTATAAGGGATTTTCATCATCTATGGAAATGTAGAAGATAGAAAAATGATGTATACTTGTACATGTCTGTGCAGGCTTAAAAAACAGCTAGTAGGTCATAAAGAGGAACTCACCCTAAAAAATGTCACGTATATAGAACTCGTCTACCGACCTCGTAGGAACTACTCACCTTGAGCTCATAGGAAACTCGCCCAGGATGATGAATAGGCACTACTTGCCCATGCCCAACAAGGAGCTCACCTTATGTTGGCGAGTTGAAATATCCTCACCAGGTTAACAACTCACCTAGCTCATACATAGACAACTAGATCAATCATTCACTCTACCTCAAGGCGACTTTAGGTACTCACTCCCTAACACAACATTCATCATAATTATCAAACTCAATTACAAGAATTTGCTACTCACAGGACACTCACCCTACCACGTGACAACTAGAAAACTCTAAGCTCTCCCTTCCTGTGATAACATCTCACTTGCCTCTTCCTTCTTAGATGATCTAAGATCCTCCCACATGTAAGTGATAAGCTTAGCAAGCACGCCTGTCCTAGGACAACTTTTTATATCAATAGTGCTCATAGGTTCGCCTATGCACACTTGCCCTCATGCACTCGACACTATTGGACTTGCCTCCACTATGACTTTATTATAATTGATAAAAAGAAAAAATAATAATTCCAATTTTTCTATATTATGATATTTATGCTTTTCTTCCATATGTTTTATGCAATAAATGAAAATTGAACCAACATCACAGCTTCAAAGCTTATTCCAAAGCCTTTAGTGCCACCAATTCAACACCACAGTGAAGAGCTCTAAAAAATTTACTGGAGAGCTTAGCATTGAGGTGTTATCAAGGAAGCACTGCAGCAGCATATGGAATGTCATATCCCCAAATTTCTCACCAAAGTAGCCAAAGATTGTTGAACTAGTTAACTGCTAAAATAAATGATGAACCACCATGTCAATCCCACAACGTTGCGACCAATTTTTTTTTTTAAATATAAAAAATAGCCATAGTGTTCATGTTAGAAGATTGGCACATTATGAAGTTATTAATGTGTGTGTGAGTGAGCGTGAGAGGCTATTCTTAAAAGAGAGTGTATCTTGTATCTATGTTTGGTGTGTTATGTTAGTGTATTGATAGTGTAAAAATTATATTATTTTATGTGTTATATTTTAAATGATTACATTTTTTTTAGTTGTGCTGTGCAGGAAAAATACAAAAAGGGCACAAAATTCTATCATTGAACGAATCAACGCCGCAACTCCACCAAGGATGTCGTCGGAGTGCGAGAAATGGTAGCACATACTTCTCTATTTGATAGCACCCCAGCATCAAAATGGTCAGCTTAGTTGCATTGTGTTCATTGTATTCAAGCACCGCAGCATCACAATCTACCATATCTTGGCGCCAAATTTGCCACTCAGACGCTATAGTGTTTGAAAGTCAACAGTGTCATAATGTAGCAGTTATAACTTCTAAAGGATTCGATCTGCAACCGAAGCGATGCAACTGTTTAGTAAATAATCTATCCACGTTAGCAAGAGCCACAGCAGTGCAAAAACATCAACGAAGTGGCAATAGTTCATTTTATGGGTGTGACGGTGCCTATCTTTTAAATGTCATAGTGTCAGTTGCATGAATTATGTTTTCCTATAAATAGTCATTGTGTTATGTTTGTAAGCGAGTTCGGTCACTTGTCTAATTTAAAAATTTTTCAAAGTGCTTATTGAAATCTCTCTTTTTGTTTCTCTCGAGAATTGGATATATCTTTTTTGGTCTTAGCTTTCTTTTTATAAGTTTTCATTTTTTTTTTCTTTTTGATAAAATTGTAACTGCTTTTGATTTTATAATATAGGCAAATGCCAAATTTTTCCAAAAAAAAAATCATTTCATGATCTAAAAAATATAATCACATAGTGAAAAAGATAGTTCCATATGCAATTTATAATTTAGCTTCCAATTGACATGAAAACATTGCACCGCACATAGTCATGATTCAATATCATTGGAATATGTAAAAACAGCACATCAAAGGCAGCAGCCTTCTTATCTGGTGAGGACTCTTTCTTTTTTTTTTTTTTCATGTTTGTGAGTTAATATAATTACATTGGAACTCTATTAAAATTTACAATTATGATAATTTTTAACTAGGTTGGTCATAAATTATAACTTTTCTTAAATTTTTGAAAAAAAAATCCAGTCTTTTTATTTTTAGTCAACCTTTTTTTTCCGGAACTATTTATTTAATCATAATGTATTTGATAATTTAATTACATGATAATTTTTTTCTTCTTAAAACTTAAAATTTTATTTCAAGTTCCCAATTTTTATTAAATAATAACATAATAATATTTTAAATAAACAAATTTTCAGTTTGATTTATTTTTATCAATGTACATGTTTTGTATATTATATTGCTTTCTTTGTTATTTGCCACCAAGTGTTGGTAATTTTTCTTCATACAGGTTTCTTTCCTTTATTTATTCTAGGACAATGTGTAGATAAATAGATCCCTTTGAATGTTTTTTATATTACAATGCTATATATGCGATAATTTTAAGAAAAAAAAAACATTTAACTTTTCAATAATATAATTAATAATTAAACTTTACATAAAGGGATAAAAAAAATAATATTATCTTTTGATCAATGTATTGTTAGAATAAATCATCTACAAATGGCGATTTCCAGTCCACGATTGAATCCACAGCTTTTCAGCAACCAGTCTAACAAATCAAAACTTGCTAAAGAAGATCCTATTCACGACATCAATGGGCAGTGCATAGGCCGGGTCAATAGGCTTCAATCCTGGATACTCCATGAGCGAAAGACCTGTAAGCCACAGGTAAGAAATCAATGAGCAAAATCTGGAGTTTCAATCAGCAGAGAAACAGAAAGATTTCACATTTCAATGGAGATCCAGAAAAAAGACGGGCAATGGAGGAACAGAGAAGAGAAACTAAGTACCAGCAACTCCAAAGTAGGTATGGAAAACATCAACAGCGTTATCTGGCCTGTCAGAAATTCCCCCATTTTCACTGTCCTGCGTGTTTCAACAATGCCATATATGATAATAACAGTACCAGAAAGGCTATTCTCAGGATTCAAATAAAAAAAAAAAAGGATCATGAAAAACAAACCTGGCAATTTAAAATGTACTCGGTAAGTTTACTTTTGTCAATCCAATGCACACGATCAATCATGATCAAGCTTGAAAGCACCCACCAAGAATAGCAGACCTAGGAAGGTTATATGAACATGAAGTAAATAAAAAATAAAGTTAATACCTTGCATTAAAAAAGCTTAATAAAACATTAAAAAAAATGCAATAGTCAAATTTCCCACATCAGCGAGCTTCTCTGGACGTCCATTCAAGCCGCCATCCGGGCATTGTCGCTCGCATAGCCACCAACCAAGAAGATCCCTATCAACATGGTGTAGGGAACCTGTTATAGAAAGGGCACCCACACAGCAGAAGACTGCAGTACACATAGTACAAAAGAAGTGAGAGTTAGAGCTGAGGGAGAATTTTTAGAAGTTGAGATGGCTATGAAGGCACAAACAACTATCAAGCTCATTAAAAAAGTTTGAATCTTTCTTGGATATTAATAATGATTCATAAAAAAAAAACACAGAAAATAAATGAGTCAAACCATAAAAGGATGCAGGTTTTCAAGTTGAATATACGAAGAACATGGTCGTTGATACTCGAGCATCGCTAAGGGCATCTCCAACCAAACTCCAAATGCTTGAATGGCGTTGCTCGCGAGCTCCAGCCGAACGGTAAAACTTCCGCTATTTGGTTGCGAGTGAACAGTGGGACGTCAATATTGGCGTTGCACTGTTCGCTATTTTTTTGTCTCAACCGAACTTGCTGAAGAAACGCGCGAAAGAAGATAACGACCGTTACCTTCCCAAAAGGGGGCAAAATGGAGTTCAATTGGAGATAAATCACGGCATTTTTTAGTTTCACGGCATTTTGAAGTGAAAAATGAGATTTTCGGTTGGAGATGACCGAATAAAATAATATGGCACATACTTTGGCCAGCATGAGATTCCCCGCCAGGTGTTGCTCCAAATCCACCATCCAAATTTTTGCAGCTTAAGATATAGTTCACAGCCTTCCCCACATTGATTTTGTCCAGACAGTGCAAAATCGAGAGACAAAAAATTGCACAGTAAGAAAACCTGAAGAGAAAGAAATACAATAACTTTTAAATGTAGCATCTCCCTCGGGCAGTAGGAGAAATTATGATAGCTGATTTTACCTGGTATCAATTTCACCCCACATATCACCAGAAAATGATCCATCTTCGTTCTGTAGCCCAGCAACATCTAGCATGCTTATTAAGCAAAAGCAATACCCAGAATAGGAAAACCCTCTTGTGTGCACATATCACCAGAAAATGACCCATATTTGTCCTGTCGCCCAGCAACATCTAACATATTTATCAAGCAAAAACAGTAACCAGGATAACAAACCCTCTTTTGTTCACAGCAACATCTAACATATTTGTCATGTTGATCTTTAGCCAACTGGACCATTTTTTATTTTCAAAAAGATGAATGAACAAATTTTTTAGGGTACTATCAACTTTCATAAATACTTCATGGGTTAACTAATGCTAAAAAAGAACATTTTACTTTGTTAGGGTAATCGTAGAGCATTTTGGAAATCATTCACAAACTTTTTAGAGGCCAAAAATGCAAAATTTTTTGTGATGTTCATATAGTCAGTTAAACTTAGATCTTGTGGGAATTTTCACTAATGTAGGCTACCCTGAAATATTTTGCTTAACTTCTCAAAAATATTATTGAATTCTAAAAGACCATTTGTGGTTAATGAAGAGTCAAATGAAAAATGGAATATGCCATTGCTTATGCTAACCAAATTCAAATGAATAATGTAAGCAATTCACACTTCAGAATATTTTATAAAGGATACATTCAGAGATCATCTCTATGTCCAGAACATCAAACCTATTAAGAAGGGCTAAAATTTGAACAGCACTAAGCGTATATAGAAGATGAGGATCAAGCCCAATAGTTCCAGCAAAACCTCCTGCACTTGTCCAGGAGATAAACTTAATTCCATATGGCTTATAATATCCCATTTTGCATTAAAAAATGTTGCAGTTCAGATAGTGACCTACCACTTTCTCTGTCCCAGCATGACATCAACCATGAGATAACCTCTTCTTGATCAACTGATGCAACATTCTGAAGAAGATCTAGAGTGGTCAAACCCCAATATGCACCATTCATCCTCAGATGCTCCATTACCAAAGCCTCAAAACTGTCCTTTTTCTGGTGGTCAAAACATATAGTTTTAAAGAGTTCTCCTTGGTTAACACTGAAGGTGATTAAGAAGATGCAAACCTTTTCAACCGAGAGAATGTATTGTACATGCTTGTCGACTTTCAATTCTCCCATTTCTCCACGGAAACTCCAATAAATCACAGAATATCAATATCTGAAAGTAAAAAAGTTCAACTTCTGATATCTAGCAGCATGTAATGGTGAAAACTTTCAGATATCATCATGCATTGAATAGCTGCTTCAGAAATTTAGTTAATTTCATATTCTTTCAAAGGTAGCCAAGGTTTTAGTCTAGAACAATCATATTAACCTAGAATTTAATGTTGGTGTTTATATTTAACACCTACGGCTTCTAAGAATTGAATAAATTAATCCAACTATTCACTAGCTGACAAAATTTAAAAAACGAAATGAAACATAAACTTATTTTGGTTCTAAATGGCTAAAATACATCATTAAAATACTCTAAAATTTGACAATTGCACAGACCCGTAAAACTTTACGAAGGCCTGCAAACCTTTACGAAGACACGTACTATTTAATTATTCAATAACCTAAAACTATTGAAGACCCGTTAGACTTTACAAAGGCCCACAAAATAGTTTTCAATGACCCACAAACTTTTGCGGAGACCTTTAAAATTTCTATTTATTTTTCTTAGTGATGTTTAAGAATTTTTTTACATCAAAATATCTATTTAGTTTATTCAAATAATGTCTCAAATAGTATTTCAAAAATATTTTAGGCTTAAAAATAAAGCAATTAATAGGGGACGGGAATTGGATTCCAAAAATATTACATATTTTAATTCTATTTTTATCACAAAAATATCATGAAGTTCATAAGGAAGATAAATATCATCACAAGCAATATGAATTGCAAAAGATATTTCAGCCTTGCGACCATACTCCCCCCGGAACCCAAAAACTTTGATTAATAAACCTCCAAATAGTAGAGCAGGTAAAGCCATGAGATAGGGATTCAAGGGACGGAAGCCCAAGACCCCCATTGGCTTTAGGATGCAGGTATCTACACAATATCGGAAGCCCGACTCCTGGTCTCTGGCTGTCGTTCGAATCAGCCTCTCTCTCTCATGGTCTCTTCCGTTCGCACACCCAGGAGAAATCCATCTCTCGTTGCTTGCCCTAGCCTACTCCCATTCGCACGCTAAGACAAGGTCGAAGCTCCCACTCCGTCTCTTCTGTTTTTCGCGAGCCCCTGAGCAAGAAGGGAGTCCCTCCGCTTTTCTTCCCTGGTTCACAAGCCCCAAGCTCCCTTGGTCTCTCAATTCGCATGATCCGGCCGAACTGAAGCCCGACCCTTGCGTCTTGTCGGTCCTCATCTCCGACTCGACTCCAAAAGCCACAAAAGCCCCTTTATTCCACATTTGTCTCTCCTGCCCTAGCTGAGCCCCTTCTTCTTTGTCCCTCTCTGTTGGATCAAGATGGACGCATCGATGATATTATCTTCTATATCATTTGGTTGTGTCAAAATTTTGCATTATCTGGTATAGAGAATCGCATATGTGCTAATATGCTAGAGATATTGATGTAGGCAGGGGGGTCAAAATAAGTTGGGTCGTAAATTTTATGAGTTTCTTTATCTTCTACTAAAATCATTTCATTAATGGTTGAGTTGTTGTTTTCAGCTCATAAATTAAGATTCATTCCCCCCATTTGCTGCCCCTTTGGTTCACCCACCTAGCTCTCCTTCCCGTGGTTGATTCCTCCCCCTTTGATTGCCTGTTCCGGTCCCCTAACTGCTGTCCCGGTTTCCTGGCCGTCCGTCCAGGTTCCCCTGGTTGCTGGTTCTGATCCCCTGTGCTGCCCCTTCGGTTCCTCCCCTGGCTGCTTGTCCCGTGGTTGCTTTTCTTGGTTTTCTGTGTGGCCTTTTTGGGAGCTGTTCTTGAATGAATGATGGCTCCCTTTGTGACAGTTTGGGTGTTGTTTCTGGACAGCCAGTTGGCCCCTTTTGTGGCTCTTTGGGTGATGTTTCTGGATATCCCCTTGGCCTTCCATTTTCATTGTTTTAATTAGTTTAAATGAGGGAATTTTGGGCTGTTTGGCTGTCTTATTTCCACTATAAATATGTGATGTTTTGTAAGTGAAAAGAGAGCTTATGATGTGATTTTTGGATCTAAAAAAACATGAGGGTTTTTCTTCCTTCTTTGGAAAAGCTTGCGAGCTTGTTCCGTACTTCTTCTCCCTCTAGGAAAGCTTGCGAGCTTGTCCTCTCTTCGTCTCGGCTTCTAACCTCTTTCTTCTCCCCGTAAATTCGACGCCAATTGTATCCTTCTTCTCGACGGATGAAAAGTAGTTTTGGGAAGTCGTATGTGTTGTTTTATTTTTATTTCATAAGTTTGTAAGCTTCCTTTATTGTAATGTAAGTGTCCTTTTTATATGATATAAAGTGGTCTTGTATTTCTTTTAAGAGGAGTCTTTTGTGTATTTTCTATATCATAGCAAGTCTTTTTATTTTTGCTTGCAAAAATTATAGTTTTTCTAATTTTGCTTGCATAAGATATCATTGCCATTATAAGACTAATAGTCTTTAAACTCACATGTGTTATATTCCTTTTAAATCAATCGTCATTTGCCTGTTCAATTTCCATCGTGCTCTCTTCAGAACCGGCCCAGACGAACCCACCTCCATCCCTTTCCCACGCAACTGCAGCCGACGATCCTTGACAGCCTTGCTCGACTTCTCGAGTCGAATCAGAGCCCAGATCGCGATCTGCCCAAGCCAGCCCGTTCCGACCTCCTCCCAGTCACAGGTTTGTTTCCTTCCTCATTTTCTTCTCCACCCTCTTATCTTCCACCATCCACCTGCTTCCTCGCCCTCATGTTGTCTGACGCATTTCTATCCCACACTTTCAAAGAAAAATCCATCTAACATTTCTTACTTGCTAATGGTGGACTTTGCTCTTAGTGTTTTGATGGATTTTCTTCTTATGACATGTGAAAGTTCTGTTCAATAATTGAGATCTCTATTTGTTGGTTTGATATCATAAGCTTCATTCAAATATTTGTACAAGTGTATGGTAGATTGTTGCTTCAAGTTGATATGAATGTTATGTGGGTTGACTTTGAGTTCTTATGAATCCATGATAGAGCCTTCATTGTACGAAACTGAAGCTTGACTGATCTTTGAGGGTAAAGTGAACAAGATGTACACATATAAATATAGCGGTCAGATTCTATCTTTTATATCTTAACAATTTCAGGTGCCATATGTAATTTGAAATTGTCATATTTAAGCATAACTAGACGATTGCATCTCTTTGATCATGTACATGCCAACATCGATGAGGTTGGTTTACATATATTTGCGCTCCAAACTTTTTGTGGTTTTGACGTCAAAAGTAGTGAAATGTATGTTCATGTTTAAGTTTTGATAATAGTCATTTTAGAAAGTATGTATGTGCTAATATGCTTCAATAATGTGGGGCTTTGTAAATTCATGTGTAAGAACTTATTTTCCTCTTATATTGTTTGATTTCTATTTCATTGTTCTTATGTTTCTTTGGAGCATTTTAGAGGATAATACTCATGAGAGGTTGCTCAAACCACAAAGACACCTAAATGATAAACTGAAGTAGAAAAATTGGTGGCGAAAAACATTCAGAAATAAGTCAAAATTTCCGCATAAAAACGTGAAGTTCAAATGAAAATGCAAGACTAAGATGTCGTTTGGGACGGCTTTCTTACTGCTTCTTAAAGCAACTTTATTTTTAGGCTAGAAAATTGCATTAAGAAGCAGTAAGAAAGCCGTTTCAAACGAAGCCTAAAACTCCCGCATAGGCATAACCAGTGGTTAAAAGCAAGTGGCAGCAATATATTACTACCCTTTTCTATTGCCAACAAAATTTCATCAACATCCAAGATATGGAGGCAAACTGCCAACCTCTAAATCAAATGCTTAAGAATTTAAAAAAAAAAAAAACAAACAAAATCAAAACATATCTTATGGTAGATGATAATCAATGAGAATAAGATTGGGATATTTAATAGATATAAGTATAAAATTACTGCCGTGAATAGAATTATTGATGGTGCTTTAAATCAAAAACATACTATGCTCCTCAAATTAGAATATATAAATTTTTGGAAAACCTATTTCAGAAAGAACTAAATGTATCATTACAATGTACAAAAAGAGAATAATAAAACTGATGGTGATTCAAATGGATGTTCATAATCGTAATATGAGTTTAGGAATATCAGTTGGACTAGCCTAGCCCAGACCCTCATGAGGTTGGGGCCCTGAAGCCCAAAAACAAAATAGGAGTGATCAGCCCCTTTAAAGATAAGGATTTTTTAATAATCAAGAAATTTAACCATAAGCAACAAGAAAATAAAGAACCTTACTGGGATCTATTTGGGACAGTTTTTTCACTTCTTTATTTTTCATAATGGTGGAATACTTGTATAGGGTTACTTTCTTTTTTATTACTTTTTAAGAAACTTGTAAAAAGCTGCTTTTTGCAACTAGATTTGCAAGAGGGTTGGCAATAAAAAAAATGCTGTCAAACTTTTTCAAAAAAAAAAACTATTTATAATATCTACATAAGCATTTTTAATACTATTTTTTCCACAACTCCACAATTATATTTGCAAGAAGTTGTAACCACTCCAAACGGAACCTTAGATTGCAAGAGGCTGCTAGTGACTGCTACTTTGAATAAATGCCTATAAATTTAAGTGTTACAAATTTACCACCGGAGCAGATTTTTATTATAGCATTTTTTTATTGAAGTATTTTTTAATTGAAAAATAACATTTATGTCCTCTAGTGTATAGAATTTTTCAAGAAAAACTATATCCATATACTCTGTTATATAGATTTTTAAGAAAACAAGATTTCTAAGAAATTCTTCTAGCTTTCAAAGACCTGCCTAGTGAAGTTCTGCAAGAAAAATCTTAATACAAAAGAAAGATCAATGTAGTTATTTAAGGGATTTAAGGGCTATTTAAAAACAATAACAAAAAGCATTTATCCCACTACGTGGAGTCAGCCATTTAAGGGCTAAGGGGATGATTTTTCTTAAAGGGTTGTTTGTTTTGTTAAAAAAAGAATGTGAAGTAGAAATGTGATTTATTTGAAATGTTTGGAGTTATTTGAATTAGTTCAAAATAATTCAGGTGATTTTTTTTTTTGTCTAAGCAAAATGAATATAATGAAAAACCCAACAATATATTCAAAAACCAGATAAAGTCAGATGAGTTTTGAATACATTAAAAATGAACTGCATAGTAAATTTGAAACTAAGTAAAATTTTATTGTACATTTCTTTTGCATCGAACTAAAACCACTGCATTTAAAACACTATGTATATACACCTATTGGCCTTCTCAAATGTTTTCATAGATAGCGACAAGATCATGACAAAGCCATCCTTTTCCAGGATTAGCTGCCTTAAAGGGCTCACCCATAGATACCCGGGTAACTCACCCAAGGACAGGTCATCACTTGCTCGCATGCATCTAGGAGCTTGCCCTCCGCTAGGCGACCATGAGGTTCCTTGCTAAGCAACCAAATCAACATTCATCTCAATCAGGCTCTTACTTCCTAAGCTCGCCAAGTTTATTTACGAGAAAGTGCCAACCTCCATAACCCCTCACTCATTCGACTAAAACTTATACTAAATTCAAAAACTCATCATCTCCTGTTGATCCCTAAAAAGTCATTCAGAAAAGTTCTCTCACTTGTTCCTCACTGCCCTTTATTTATAGGATTTTGTGGGCTATCAAAAAGGCTACACAAAAAGCACTCTAACAATGCTACACATTAATCTCAGATGTGTGGGGTCTCTTGATTGGCTTCATGAGTACATGACTTGGTAAGTTGTCTGCCATCGAGCGAGCTCAGGAGGTGGCAAATAGGCGTAGGGTGAGTCCTAAGAGGAAGTGGACCACTAGTCGGGGAGTAACACAGAAGACTCAGTGTTGCCCTGTGGAGGAAGGCGAGTCGGGATGTTGTCGGGGATGTGACCCCTAATACTATTATCAGTGTCGAGTTGACCGCGCAAAGTGAGTTTCAAAAGCAAAAGAGCTCGAAATCGCGCAAAAACTCACTCGACGTGTGTCAACCGAAAACACAAAATCGCCGAGATAACCTCCGCTCGCGAAACGGATAGCGCTGATGCGTCCATAGCAACAGAAACATCTAAAATCGACACCCATATTGATGGGGTCGCCGGTCGGCAAAAAAAGAAATTTTGGGCCCGCGAATCGAGGCAACGATGTGTACGAGCAACGACGTGACGACAAACTCAATGCAAGATTAAACTTTTAGTTTTTATTTTGTGCAATATAATTAAAAAAATTAAAGAGAGTGAGAGAAAGAGATTTTAAATAAAAGATAATTTTTCTTTAGATAAAAATTTTCTTTATGTCCATTTAAATAAAATTTAAAAACAAACTCAATGCAAGACTAAACTTTTAGTTTTTATTTTTTCCTTTGGATATTTTAATCATTTAAATTTAGATCTCCAAATGGAAACAAACTCAATGCATGTATGTAATTTTCTAGGAAATGAATTTGCAGGCATGGTGGAGAGGAGAGATGCTTGGGGTGAAAATGGAGCCATACATGAAGAGATTTCACTCTCATTCTAGAGAGAGAAAATTTTCTCTCTTTATGTTAGAGAGAGAAAGTGGATTGACCATGTATTTTCCTATTTTGGTTGGGTTACATCAAGGATCAGCCTTAAGCCCATATATTTTTTCTTTAGTCATGGATGTTCTCACTAGACATTTGCAAGAGGATGTATCTTGGTGTATGTTTTTTGCTAATGATATTCTTCTTGTTGATAAGACTAAAGAGGGAGTTGAAGGTAAACTTGAATTATGGAGGTCAACCTTAGAGTCTAAAGGTTTTCGCTTGAGTAGATCTAAAACAGAATATATGGAGTGTAATTTTAGTAGTAATAGACCTAGTGAGGGGATTGTGACTTTGGGCAATCAAGTTATTAATAAGAGTACACGTCTTAGATATCTTGGATCTGTTGTTCAGAGTGATGGTGAAATAGATAGAGATATTATCAGCAAAATTCAAGTTGGATGGTTGAAGTGGAGGAATGCATCGAGCTTGTTATGTGATAGAAATGTACCCCTCAAACTTAAGGGAAAATTCTATAAAATGGTAGTGAGGCCTGCAAAGCTTTATGGTGCTGAATGTTGGCCATTAAAAGAGAAGCATAATACTAAGTTAAGTGTGGCAGAGATGAGGATGCTCAGGTGGATGAGTGGCTTTACCCTTAGAGATAGGATACGAAATGAGCATATACGTGAAAAGGTTGGAGTAGCTCCAGTAGAAGATAAGATTAGAGAGAGTCGCCTTAGATGGTTTGGTCACATAAAACGGCGGCCTTCCGATGACCCAGTTAGGAGAGTAGAGGTATTAGATTTGACTTATGTTAAGAAAGGTAGGGGTAGACCTAAAAAGACTTGGTTAGAAAATATTAGGAATGACCTTTCTTTACTAGATTTAAATGAGAATTTGACTTTTAATAGGACACAATGGAGAAAAAGGATTCATGTAGCCGACCTCACGTAGTGGGATAAAGGCTTAATGTTGTTGTTGTTGTTGTTGCTTCTCATAAACTAGCATAACATCACTACGAGATATTGTTCTTTAATGTTTCAAAAACTATAGAGACATCGATTTCAAAACAAGATTAAAACCAAATTTTTTCCACAGCAAAAAATGGTTTTTCATTGATCAAAATGTAATGAGCTATACTCTCTCTTACTCTAGAATTGTCATAAGAAAAGGTGGTCAAACTAGCACGCTCATGTGAGTTGTCAGCAACATAATCAATTTCCTCAAGTTGAAAATGAAGTACTTTTTGGTTTCTTATGAAATGAATCCTAGCCGCAAAATAATCAAGATGACGTCTAAATTGTGTTGTCGACCCTGTAGTTCCTATGGAAAGGGCCTTCCAACAATGAATGCATTCCCCTTTTTCTTCTAACCATTAGAAAGTTTTACTTCCTTAAACTCGTCCCAAACAAATGATATCTTCTACCATTTTTTTTTGTAATAGGATTGGCATCTTCATTTTGAGTACATGTGCCTACACCATCCCCTTCTACACCTTTATTTTCCTCCATCACAACATTATTTTCAATCAACACAACATTTGCATCCACACTATAAATGGTACTTCATCAACTGTCTCCAAAATTATTTTCTCACTAATATTATCTTCGACAATTGGTTCGAGTGACATTCTAGAGTAGATACATAAACCATAATAAATAACACATATAAGTTAATTCAAACATTGACTTAACAATAATTCTAAAATAAAAAAGATAATTGTCAGGATAAAATGAAAGTTGGCTAGAGTGTGAATAATGTTACAAGGAATATCCATTAAAAATTATGATAAAAATCGTTGAAAAACTTCTCTCCCAAATGAAACCTAAATCAAGACATCTTAAAATAGATAGGATTATATTAAAAAAAATTAGAACTAAAAAATAAGTAAATCAATGCATAAAAATAAAATAAAATATAAAAGTCCTTTAATAGAAAACAAGACATGTAAAAAAAGCATAAATTAACTAAATCATAAGTTAATATACACACAGTCTTAACATTAAAACTACAAATTACAACAACTCAAAATATGACATAAGTTCAGTGGATATTTCAATTTTAAGACAGAAGGCCTTATCTCACGAGCTGTTGTTCTTGAATATTTCAAAAACTATGGAGACATTGACTTCAAAACAAGAATAAAACCAATTTTTTTCCACAACAAAAAATGACTTTTCATTGATCAAAATGTAATGAGCTATACTCTCTCTTACTTTAGAATTGTCATAATAAAAGGTGGTCAAACTAACACTCTCATGTGAGTTGTTAGCAAAATAATCAATTTCCTTAAGTTGAAAATGAAATACTTTTTGGTTTCTCATGAAATGAATCCTAGCCGCACAACAATCAAGATGATGTCTAAATTGTGTTGTCGACCATGTAGTTCCTATGGAAAGGGCCTTCCTACAATGAATGCATTCCCCTTTCTTCTGACCATTAGAAAATTTTACCTCCTTAAACTCATCCCAAACAAATGATCTCTTCTACCCTTTTTTGTTGTAGTAGGATTCACATCTTCATTCTGAGTACATGTGCCTACACCATCCCCTTCTACACCTTTATTTTCCTCCACCACAACATTATTTTCAATCAACCCAACATTTGCCTCTACACTATAAATGGTACTTCATCAACTGTCTCCCAAATTATTTCCTCACTAATATTATATTCGACAATTAGTTTGAGTGACATTCTAGAGTATATACAAACCTTAATAAATAACGCATATAAGTTAATTCAAACATTGACTTAACAATAATTCTAAAATAAAAAAGATAATTGTAGGATAAAATGAAAGTTGGCTATACTGTGAATAATGTTACAAGGAATATCCATTAAAAATTATGATAAACATCATTGAAAAACTTCTCTCCCAAATGAAACCTAAATCAAGACATCCTAAAATAGATAGGATTACATAAAAAAAAAATTTTGAACTAAAAAATAAGTAAACCAATGCATAAAAATAAAATAAAATATAAAAGTCCTTTAACAGAAAACAAGACATGTAAAAAAAGCATAAATTAACTAAATCATAAGTTAATAGACACGCAGTCTTAACATTAAGACTACAAATTACAGTAACTCAAAATATGGCATAAGTTCAGTGGATACCTTTTCTTTTGAACTTGAATATCAACCTTTAAGATCACTTCTCATAAACAGATCTGAAGAATGAAAAAAAAAAAAAAACTGGATAAAGATCATCTAACCCGAGATAAACAGATCTTGAGAAAAAAAAAACTGAATAAAGAGTCAGCTAACCCAAGATTAACAGATCTAAAGAAAGAAAAAAAAAACATAACAAAATAATAAACTGAATAAAATCTTTAGTTATACACAAGTTTAGCGGCTACCTCTTCTTTTGAACTTTAATTTAAGGGGGATTTACATACATGCCACTTTATAATGCTCATATTACATATTTAACACTCTAAACTTAAATATTTCATATATACCACTCAAACACAAAAATAACATCATAATTACCACTCCGTCTCCATCAACCCTTACTCCGTCTGCAACAAGACCTCACTCCGGCTAAGATATGCTCCTCTCGCTAGGAATTGACAATGAACTCCTCGCTTCTGTATTGAGAGGAGTTGAGGGAGCAGCCAGTTCCGGTGGACAAAGACTCATCTCTATAGCTGGAGATGGTTGATTCTACAATGCAAGCATTGTTGCAATAGTTCACCTGTAGGCCCTTATCAAATGCAATAGCTAAAGAAGAAGAAGAAGAAATGGAGTTTGAGGGCTTTCTCCTTCTAAGGGCGTTAGACAGCTCCCTGTGCCTCCATTTTAGTGATTCTTCATAGCATTATTAGTTCTCCAAGGGAACAACCTCGCTATGAGGCCCATTTGTTTCCATAGAGCCAATAAGCTGAGAGAAGCCTTTCCTCTTCCTCCTCCGTGAACGTCTTCTTGTTAATTCTTGGGTTTGGTTGAAGCATCGCAACCTGCAACCTGTAGCTCTTCCCTGGAATGACGGAGTGAGAACGGAGTGGTAATTCTGAAGTTATTTTTGTATTTGAGTGGTATATATGAAATATTTAAGTTTATGGTGTTAAATATGTAATATGAGTATTATAAAGTGGCATGTATGTAAATCCCCCTTAATTTAAACTTTCAAGATCAGTTCCCTTAAGAAGGTGCTACAGATCAGAAGAAAGATAAAAAAAAACTGAATAAATAGTCACCTCACCCAACATAAACAGATCTGAAGAAAGAAAAAACATAACAAAAAAATGAATAAAAAAGAGCATACAACAGAGAAGAAATCCTAGTCGGAGCACCAAGCTAGCGACCGTCACGAAACTCCCAACTGCCAAACGACCGGAAAACCGTTGTCTCTCCACCCGCCGAGTCACCTCTCCTGCTCTAGCACATGAAGGACGGAAGACGGCGAAGATAGAGAAGCCCTAGCACACGAACGGCACGCCACAACTCCGCACGACCCAGGAAAAAAAAAACTAAGGGGCTGTTTGGTATCGGATTTATCGTCGGATTTAAGTCGGATTTACGCTAAATCCAGCCAAACGGTTATCCCTCGGTTCGGTGGTTTTAAAGGGATTTAAAGAGTGGCGGAAGACTTACCCGCGGCGCCCGTGTCGCCGAAGCTCAACAGTCGCCGAAGAAGCGCGCGAAATGGAGAACCTTCACAGCCAGCAAGCTCCCGTTGTTGCTTCCGATCAAAATGTCGTAACTTCCGACCAGACAGGAAGGGAAAGTCGTCGAAGGAGCGAAGTCGAACAGAGCCGAAGTGGCGACGCGCACAATCTCTACACCTGCTCCAAAGCAACGAAGCCGAACAGCAACGACGAAAAGAAAAGATGAAAGCCAAACCCTAGACGCCCCAAAGAGACTATTATTGATTAACTTAAATTAAGGGTAATTAGTGCATAAATTAATTATTTAAATTTAAAAATCAGCAATATTAATATTGATTTTGGTATAATATTAACTAATTAATATTATACCAAAATCAATTATTCTAATTTATACCAAAATTAGAATAATTAATAATTAAGTTAATTAAATAAATAATTAATAATATAATTAGTGCATAAATTAATTATATAATTTAACTTAATTGACTAATTAATGATATAATTAGTAATTAAATATTAATATAATTAGCT